AGCCCCCTCGAGTGACGTCGCGGGCCGGTCTCATGGACACGTGCCTCGGGCCAATGGCCGCAGCGTCTCGCACCCACGTGACGCGCCAACCGCGGCTCGGTGACAGGAGGCTCCTGCCGCCCCGCCGCCGCCGCCCCTCCCTCCCTTAAAGCAGCCGCGTCCTCTGGCTCCGGGTGCGGGAGCCCCGAATCCTGGAGACCAGGTCGGCGTCCTGCGCTCCACCGCGCTTTCCCCGTCGCTGGGACCGAAGGAACCCCCGCGGTGGCATTCTCCGGTCACCCTGGTTAGCGTCCGCACACACGGTCTGGGAGATTGCAATTTTTAACATTTCCATATTGTTTACCGTAGGGAAAAATCCCACAATTCCTTGCACAAAAATGCATAACTCATATTAAATAGGCTGCCGAGATACAAAGGGACTTTTGTAGCCCGTGTTCCTCGCTATGGAGAGGGAAGTTGTCACTTACGTTTGACTTTGGTGACCGGGCAGATTTCTGTGTTGAACGCAGAGCTGGCGCACAGGACCCTCCTCCTGCAGACACTTATTGTAAGTGTGCGTGTGTGTGCGTGTGCGTGTGCGCGTGCAGAAGGCAAGGTCCCCTAGGGACACCCATCCTCAGGAAATGGGCAGGTGGACCTGGAGGAGCGCGGGAGCAGATTTCGGGCTCCGCGGGAGGAGAAATAAAGGCGCATGGGGGTCAGAACTGAGTCGTCGGTTTGGAAATTCCCATCCAACCACACGCCCTGCCCCCAGGCCTCCCACCTCATTTTCTTAGTCTTAAATTTCTTAAACAGATTTCTTAGAGAGCGGAGCCCATCCGAAGGGGGATTAGGAATTACTTGGTGGGGGATTTGTTTTCCTCTCCCCTCCTTCCTCTGTCCCTTGGACACTTCCTTTCCAGCTGCTGTCAGGTGTCCAAATGGAACTTCTATTTCCTCTTCTCTTCCCTCCTCCCTCAGGGTCCTGCCAGGAAGCTCCTCTCTCCTGGCCTCCAACAGCCTTTGTTACCCCAGGAGTACCTGTCCATCATTTAAAATGCATTTTTATTAAAATTTGCAAACTTTGAAGAAAACACCCAAAAGGGCAATTCTGAGGGTGCAGGAGCATTGGTACGATAAAAGTGCCCTTGGCGAACAGGGGGCTGGAGAGGGGAGAGGGGAGAAGGGAGAGGGGAGAAGCGGTGGAGTCAGGTGCTCCAGGACTGGCCTGCGAGGGGCAGAAGCAGCAGCCAAACAGCGGAGGCCCATGCCAGTGCAGAGCAGGCTCTGGGTCAGGGACTGCCTGCCCAGTGCTGCCAGGCCAGGAGAGGGGCAGGTCTGCAAGCAACCCTCTAGGCAGAGTGATGGCCAGGCCTCCCCTTCCCCAGGCCAGCCCAACTCAGCTCTTATGCCCCCCAGGTCCTGTCCTCTCACCCACTGACCCACTGCAGGCTCCAGGTGCAGCAGCTGCCACACACACTGCTCCCGTGGGAACTGACCCCAGGAGGAGGGGCAAGGAGCGTGGAAGGAGGACCTGGGCTGGCCACCAAAGGGGTGGAGGCATGTAGGTGCTGGGTGTGGGTAGGCTCTGGAGACAGATGGGAGTCCCTCCTGTGAGATTCAAGTGGGGGGGAGCCACTTCTCACTTGGGGTGACTCACAAATCTTCCTCGCCACCCCCCCACCCCCCCCATTTGGAAGGGTTATCACCAAATTACCTGGCTAAACACACACCTGCTGCCAGGGACACTGCCTGGGTCTCAAAAAATGACACCCACAGTCTGCTGGCCCCTAGGAAAACAGGGCCGCTGGGGCTTGTGAGAACACCTTGTTGACACGTGGTTAGGGTCTGGGGGAAGTTTCCTACAGCTCTGGGAGCATCCCGATGCTTTGGGTCTCCTGAAGGCGGGGGTGTGAAGGGACAGCCCAGGCCCTCTGATGCCTGCAAAGCGGTCCAGGCTCATTTCTCAGTCGTCCCCTGAGAACCAATTAGGCTGCCTCCTGAGAAAGATTTTCGTTTCTTGGGCACTGTTGCTTCTGAGCGCTCGGATTAAATGAGCCCAAGGTAGGGACTCCTGCTGTGTTCCTTCCTGTGACCCAGACCTCAGCTCACTGAGCGCTCGCACTCTCCTGGCAAACCTGGACTTGGGGGTCTTCAGGCTGCGCAGAAGGAGGGGCACTCCAGAGTTACTGGCCTGGGGGTGCCCAGGGTGGTGCAGGAGGAACAGAGGAAGGAGGAAGGAGAGCAATAATTGGGGGTAGGATCTCAGGCTTCCCAGAGCCCCCCCAAACATTAAAGTCAGCCTTGAGAGTGGGCACCATCCAACAGGCAGCAGGGAGGCTGTGGGATTTGGGCCAAAGCTGCACAAAGTTGGTTTGCTCAGGGGCAGAGAGGATCCTGTCTTACATAGAAATCTCAAGCTGTTTCCAGAAGCTTCTAAAACATGCTGGAGGCTCAACGTGGCCTCTTGCCGGATTTGGGACACCGCCCTGGCTGTGTGCTTTTCTGGGGACACGGGTGGGCAGGGGGGGGGTGGAGTCTGCCTTTCCAAGTCTCTGCTCCTGGACCTGCAATGCAGCAGGTCCCCTCAGCCCTGGGCCCAGCCGGCCTGCACCCCTCTCTCCAATCCAGACCCACTGAGGCCCTCAGGGTCAGTCTCTGTGCAACCAGGCAGGCTACCTCTGGACCGTGTGTCTCCCCAAGCAAACCCAGCTGGGGAACCCCAGCCCTTCTCCTCTGGCAGGAGGGGGTCGGCTTCCTGAGGACAGCTCTGCTTATTTCCAGGGGTCTGCACGGGGTGGGGATGGGGGGTGGCTATCTGAGCCAGGAAGAGCCATCTAGACAGGAGGATTTATAACACTGACGCCAGTGGTGCCACAAATAACGTCTGGCACCTGAGGGTGGCAGAGGTTCCTGGAGACTCAGGTGCCTGGCTGCGGAACCAGGCCCCCTCCCTGCTTTTTCTTAAAACTGGGCCAGAGGACAGTGACTTTTGCGGAGGCTCTGCTTTCCCACACTCCTCTAGATGGGCGAGGGACACTGGGAGGAGCACTGCCAGACAGCGGGCTTGCCCTGGGGACATTGGTGCTGGGTTGGTAGACAAGCCCCACAGAGAGCAGCACCTGACCTCAGCACAACCAGGAGCGGGGCCCTGAGCTGGAGCAAGAGCCACCTCGGTCCTGGTGAAGCGAAGCGAAGCGCTGCTCCCCAGCCCGCAGACAAAGGCCGGAAGCGGGCATGGGCGCGGAGCGAGCTCTCCTGCAGCCATGAGAGCCAGGGTTGGGGACACTGGCCTGGGGGGTGGGGGGGCTGCTAGGAGAAACCCAGGAAGGGAGGGGTAAAGGCAGCAGCCGTGCCTGGAAAGGGGGTGGGCACCTGCCCTTGTCCTCAGGACACCACCTGTCCTGCCACAGGCCGCCCACCCGGGGCCCAGCCAGAGGCAGCCTGCGCCCGCAGCCACAGAGAACTGGGCGGCCCGTGCTGCCTGGCCGAGGAGGGCGGTGGGCATTGGCCTTGCTGGTCTGGGCCCTGCCCCAAGGGCTGGAGCAGAAGTGGCTTGTGCTCAGCCACAGCCCCCGGGGTCTGTGGAGGTGAGGCCCCCACGGGAGACAGGCTCCTGCCCAGGCCGCAGGGAAAAGACCTCCTTTTGACGCTCAGCCCCAGTGCTGGCTGGGCAGGCTGGGAGCTGCACACAGGGCGGCAGGTCTCCAGAGCCCGAGACTTCCATGCAGAACCTCCTAGAACCTATTTCTCCTGAAAACAGAGCTTCTGAGGACAGTGAGGAAGGCT